GTCATTTGTAATCATCAAAATTAAACGAAATAAACATTTGAAATATATGAGTTTGTATGTAATGTATGAATATAATATACAAGTTTCACTTTTTAAATGGAATTACTGAAATAAATCTACTTTTTCATGATATTCTTATTTTATGACCAGCACCTGTAGTGCGTCCAACTTGAGGCAGTGGGCACATTTTTGCTGCTCAAAACGCGTTCGGTGTGAATGTACCATTAGAGATAGAGTTAGGAGTTCAGTTATCTGGGAGAGACTCAGAGTAGAGCCGCTGCTCCTCCACATTGAGAGGAACCAATTGAGGTGGTTTGGGCATCTAGTAAGGATGCCTCCTGGACGCCTCCCTAGGGAGGTGCTTCAGGCATGTCCAACTGGGACGAGACCCCAAGGAGGATCCAGGACACGCTGGAGTGACTATGTCTCTCGGCTAGCCTGGGAACACCTTGCAGTCCTCCCAGAAGAGCTGGAGGAGGTGGCTGGGGAAAGAGAGGTCTGGGCTTCCCTGTTCAAGCGGTTGCCCCCGCGACCCGACTTTGGATAAAGTGGAAGATAATGATGGATGGATGATAAATCTGTCAGGTGGTTTAGATAACATTTTGCTGACAGACAAACAACGTGGAACCCAACAGTTAATGCTAAAGTTTGGGCAAAGATCCAGCTCAAAGGATAGCTTTTAAAGTATAGTCTGTTTTGTGAATGACTCTCATCTACGACCGCAGCAAATTTTAGCACAATATCTGTAAAAATACAGTATAATGGTGTTTGTTTTTTCAAGGGGTTTTGGTGAACTTTGTCATTTTGAATAGGGTGACCATATGTTCTTGATTTCAGGGGACAGTACACATTTTAGAAGACTTGTCACCGGCTGGAGCTTTTCCCTGGAAATGTACCTGATTTTAGTTTTTTTTATGAATAAGGAAAAAATGGTGCGTGTAGATTGCTGATACAGTAACCAGGTAGAAATCAAGAGTGAGCGTGTCGTGTGCAACAACAGTTCTTACGGTAGCTGGTCACTCTGCTGTTAACATTACAGAGTAGACAAAGAACAGCTGTGTGGCTGCAAGGGATGCTGGGAAACGTAGTGGAAGTTAAATGTGTGCATGTGTTAAAGGTGCTCATGAGTTGTTCTGGTCAATTGTTGTGTTCAGGTTGGTTAGCTGTTCATGTTTAAGTCTGTGTTACTGGCTGTAAATGAACAACATGTACTGCCTGGATGTATAAGAAGGAAGTGTTTTGTGTTAAGGGGGCGTGTGAAGATACAGTGTGAAGTGGGGATGTAACAATTATTCAAGAACCAATTTATAATCAATTTTAACTGCTTAAAATGCAAATCAATTTATCAATCAATCAATTTACTGCTACTTTATAAATAAAGTAGTAGTAAAGCAGTAATAACAAGGAAATCAATTCATTCATCTTTATGAAGCACTTTAAAACAACCACAGCTGCAACAAACTGCTGTACATATAAAATCAAAAACATGAAAGATGTGCTTATTGTGTAAGTCATGTCTTTAATACAAATTCAGTTTGATATTTGATAAGTTTTGTTCACAAAAGGATTTGTGACATTTTTTATTTATTTTCAAGTTATGTTACTAAGACAACAGACAGTTACAGTTTGATACAAGGACAAAAATGCTGATGTTCAAAGAAAAGAAACATATTTGGTTAAAGAATGGCTACATTTTATTTTGTTACATAATAAAAAAATCAAAAATTGCTGTAATTGTGAACCTAAAGACAACAATCAAATCGAATTGGGGCTTGAGCAAATCGTTACATCCGTAGTGTGACGTCAATGAAACTCACCTTTGTTTGCTTGACTACTGGCAACGTCTCTACACTATGCAAAAACAAATGTAAATGTTCCAGTTTCATAATTTCATCTTGATAACAATTACAATAACAATTAACAATAACAATCCAAAGAGGATTTCTGCCAGCTTCTCCAGAAGGTAATGGTTTTGGAGCTCAAAATTCATAGTTTAGAGGAGATGAATGCTTTGGAGGACTCAAATACACGTACAAATGGGTGAGAAGTCTGAGTTGAGAAGTCAACATGAAGAGGAGATGGGAAATGTCTCTGAGAGCAGAAAGTTATGGAACATAATTCAGAACAAAATTCATTTTCTGATCACAGAGAGAGCTGAGACCAGATTCTGATTCTAATTTTGGCCGATACTGATGATTTTAAATAACTGACACTCCGATGTTATAAGGTCACAATGCACCTTCAATGTTCCAATATTCTTTTAGTTAAAAACATTGAGTAATTCCCTTGAAACAATACAAACTTGTTTTAACTGGACATCAGTGCTCACAGCAGAGCAGAAGGGGACAGTGGCTGATTTTCAGACCTTTGCAGAGGTAGATGAGAAACTGATCTGTTCCACTGATCTTATCTAAATATCGTCCAAAATGAAGGAAATCGGTGCACTGAACTGATCAAACAACTGAAAAGATCACACTCACACCACTTAACACCCTGCAATGGTTTTCTGAAGGTTAGATGCTTCTGTTGCTGGATGCCCAGAAATGACTGGACATGATTGAGCTGCTGTAATTGGTAGAGAATGAAGCAGTGGATGCTTATTAGCAATTGTCAGCAGTAATGATAGATCCCTTTAACATTGCCGAGCTGAGGCCATCCTCGCTGTCTGTCCTTGTTTAACTCGTTATTTATAGACGGTGTCAGGCCTGTAATAAACATAAAACATAAAACTGTTGCTAATGTGCTGCTAATGAAATGTGGACATGAATTGAAATAATTTACCGGTGTTGATGGGTCTAACACAGAAATGGTTAGCTCTGTGTGCTCATTTACATGGTGTTTATGTAAAGCAGCGGGCAGTCAAAGCAAAGAGAGAGTACATAACAGGCTGTTTCTCTGCCTTTACAGACATGTTTGAATAAACCGTATTGAGTTGTGTTTTCAGACGCAAGTACAACCTGCGTACACTTCACTCGTAGGAAAAGTGCTTTACAAGAAAGGACCCTTAATCCTTGAGTTTCCCTCTTCAGATTTTTTTTTCTTTCTTTCTGCATGAAGGTTTCACATTGACAAAGTCTGGGTTTAAAGATGGCAGAGGCAATATTTATTGCACATAAAACACTACATGAGTGACATGAACGTGGAAGGTAGCTACCTTCAAAACTGACATAAAGCATTTCTACATTCTTAAACTATGGTTCTAAAATTGTTGAAGCACAACTTAGGGGATCTACTAATAATATATGACCCATCATATCGAAACGAGGATGAAGTCAAATTTGGTCAAAATGACCTTATTACATTTTCAGATTCTTGGCTTTAAAAGCTACATTTTGTCACCTGGATTATTCTTATATCATAATTAAATCCATATACGTATATGACTTAATTTGTCTTGTTGGTTACAATAATACATAAATATTTGGTCTGAATCCTAATTTTATGTCCTTTTAGTGAGGAATTTTTGATGTCCTTTTAAGGGGAAACCTCAAATTATATTTGAATATTGAGATTTCCCAGCTAAACAGAAACACAGCTTTGCTAGCTCACAGGGAAAATCTCAAAATTTTAAGGCGTTTTTTCCTCAAAATCTGTTTTTTTTTTGTTGCTACACCTCAAAAAAGTGCTTCAAAATTTTGTTTTATGATTATATTTCAGGCAGTTCATTGAAATGATACATTAATAAGGCTTTTATTCATTATATTTTGACAAAATGCAATTTTTCTTAACATTTTAGTCAATACACTTTATTTGGCTATTTCTCCAAATACAACTTTTGGACTTAATCCTCGGTTCGATGTGATGGGTCACATATATTTAAAAAAAACTGTTTTTCTATTGTCATAGAGAAAACTGTCAGAAGAAATAAAAATTTCCCAATTTTTTTTTGTTTGACAACACAAATTAACATAATTAACAGTGACGTTTTCATAGATGTACAACAGAAAAAAAAGTTTGTAAATTACAATATATTTCTATTTTAGTCAATATGAACTTGAACAAAACTCAACTAAATGGATGAAATGGGACATATCAGGCTTTTAAATCGTTCATTTTCCCATTTAAATTATTCAGCTGGGGTCTATGTAAAGTGGAACTGCAATTCTTTGATCTAAATTCCTTGTTATTGCAGCTCCACAAGCCCCTCTTGCACCCCTGCACTGAGATGTGAGAGCAACTCGTTTTGCTGCTGCCTATTTAAATGCTAACGCAGCTTCACACCCCGCCCGTTTCCACCCAGTTTGAATCCAGAAGTAAATACTGTATGGATGCTACACATGTTAGCTATGTACAGATTTTGAAGTTGTTGCGCAAGCAGATTTGCTATTCCTGTTTCGTCCAGTGCTCACATTTGATCTTGCCGCTTCCTGTCTACTCAGGTGCAGAGTTCCACTTCTGGAATTGGATCCATAACTGGAAGTAGTGGTGAGAAACAAACTCAAGTATCAAGCTAGTGTCATTATGATTCAACACACTGGTATACCACTGTTAGTCTCCATCGTCAAATCTATGACAAATCTAGAAGGTTGAATAAAAGACAAACTAGACTTTTGTACTATAGTTGAAGTTGAGCAAAGTTTCAAGCTTTAAACTGCATGACATTGTGCATGGGTTCTTGGAGAAAACGTGACGTGTGTTTTGACTAAATTTGATCAGCCGACACAGGAGTTAGCCAAGCATTACGTGTTTGTCTTTCATTTTGATTTGCCTTTTCTACTGCTTTAGGTTTGGAGTTAAATATTAACACTTACCCCTAATTTACACTACTTGCGTTCCGGCTCCGCTCTGCTGCGCAAGTCGCAGCTGTGCATTACAAGTCCAGTTTACACTACCTCCGCTCCGCTCCGGTCCGACAGACGTGCAGGAAGGAGATCGCCCGATAAATTCAGTGATAAGTGAGTTACAGCAAAAAAATAATTAATTCTGTGAAAGACGAACTCCAAACACATCTGAAAACATTGATATAAAGGTTTTTGTTATCTATGTTGAAACTGTCTCGTTGACATCTTTCTGAAACTTCTGATTTCAAAATAAAATCCACGTGTATCGTGTGTGTACACATATGCTTCTTGTTTTCTTCTGCTTCCCAAACAGAACGATACATTCTGACAGCATTTGTGTGGAAATATATCCGTATATTTATTAATATAGCTGTAATTTCGACATTATTCCGACAAATTATCCAGCCTAAAAGTGTCTTATTTTGAAAATACGGATGTTGTGCTCGTTTCCTGTTGGTGCGACGTAATCTTTAAAAATTGACTCCGGCATCTGTCAAAAATAGGATCTGTTCTAATTTTGACGCATCACCGTCGCTCACCGCCTCAACCTCTCATTGATTATAATGGGTGCGTATTTGCTGCGGAGGTCAGACCAGAGCAGAGACGGAACGCAAGTAGTGTAAATTAGAGGTAAAATATATTTCTAAATTTGCATGACCAACGTTAAGGCAAATTTATGTCTTCATTTAACCTTTTATTTCCCCCACTAAACTCTTAATGTTCTTACTGTAAAAGTGTCACTTTTAAATGTTTGTAGTTCATCAAAAACTATCTGCAAATTTGAATCCTATCCAGAATTATAACAAATATTTTGGGGATTTAGATTGCCTAATTTTTTTCAATTTGGATCCGAAATGTGATGTAAATGATCAGTACATTTAATGGTCAAATATGAATACATTTGACAGGTTTTACATTGATTCCATTGATTTTCTTTGCCAGGTTTACCTGTATTATTACTTAATTATTGTCAAATATGTGGTTTTTATGTTCAAGTTGTGACAAAAAGGTTCATAAGTTGTCATTTTTAAATACAGTATAATGTCATTTCATTGTGATCATTCACTGGTCAAACTGTAACGTGACAAAACTCCTAAAGCTTGACACTGAATGATTTTGGCTTTATCTGATGTTATATTCAAAAAAGTGATATTTTAAAACTATAGCATAGCTAGTCTTGGTATAATTAATATTTGTTAATTAATTATGTGTGTGTGTGTGTGTGTGTGTGGTGGTGGTGGAGGTGGGTATGTAGGCCCTGCATAGACCTCCCTACCTCAATGAAAGTTGGATAAAATGCAGCATGATGGTTCAGAGTGATTGTAGTGTAAAGTGATTTATGTGTCCTGGTTGGATAGAAAGGCGCTCTAGAAGTACAGTTCATTTTCCATTTACTGCATTTGCTTTGAAAATCATCCAATTTACTACTAAATATGAAATAACCTGGTTCAGACTTGAAAAGAAAAATAAAATTGTCATATTCAGTCATAAAAAATCTGATGTGGGCAAAAAAATCTGATCACACCTACATTCACATTGCAGGCAAATGTGAATGTAGTCTTAGTGTCAATGAATTAAACAAATAGTACTTTTAACAAGCAACAAATCATCAGAGTACTTTTGTGTTTTAAAAACAGAAGCAAAACTGGCTTTAAGTCACCATTATGCCTTTGGAAAATTGTCCAAATTGGAAAATGACAAAGTACAAAGATTTCGAAAATACTAGAGGAAATTCAAAATTTGTATTTATTTTTTGACACTGTTAAGCGTGTCAGTGTTTGGATGCTGCTACACTTCCTGTAAAACTCGGTAAAGGCTGCTTGTCTGAGTCGCTGTCCGTGCTGTCTTTTATTTACTGTGTGCACATGTGTTTGTGCAGACATGCATACAATTGTGTAGCCGTGTGTGTAGGGTGTGTGTGAAAGTGCATGTAAATCTCCTGCTTCCCCCCCATCTTATTGCTTTCTTGAGCTTCTCAGGGAGAAATCCTCTTGATTTGCCCAGTCCCCGAGGCTAGAACCCCATACACAGCAGATGTTCCACTGAAAGGGCCATGAATGTTTAATCATTTGTGTTATTGATGCCGTCTTTTTGTTTGTTAGAAAACGTGAGCGACCGTTACAGTCTTGTGTGTCTAGTTTTGCATGTTATGGATCCGTGTGAGGCAAAGAGAACAAACATCAGTCTTTCTAATTCATTACATTTAGAAAAAAAAATCATCTTTACCTTGCATCCCCTGCAATGAATGAATAATGAAGTCTATTAAAAATGTTATTTAGAGTGATTACTGTGAGCCCTGTGTCAAATATCACATCACTGCAATCACATAAAAAGACAATCTTTCTTTTTTCTGTCAAACAGAAAGTTAAACCCTACTTTTACCTGAGTGCGGATGAACAAACCGGGCTCGGGCTCTAAACTGTGATTTGTTGGACTTAAAGCTGCTGTTTTAGTATTTGAGCTGACAGCCAGATTTGATCATAATTAGACAGCATGCCGAGGGCTTTGATTGGCACGGTAATTGGATTGTCATTGGGGCTGAAAAGCTATTATCTTTGGATCATGCCCCATGAAATTTGTTGGAAAAACTTCTGTGGCCATCATTAAGTCAGCCATCTTGGGGGCCTTCACAAATGAGCTTTTTTTTTTAATGGCAAAGAAGGAAAAAAGAAGGGGAAAAAGAAAAAGAAAACGCTACCTGTGCACCGCTGGGACCCGTAGATTCTTTGAATCGCAGCGAAGACAATCTGAGCTCTATTGATTAATGATATTAGCATAGCAGGTAGCGCTAAGTCAAAAAAAGAAAAAAAGGCATGCTGCGTTATTGCCTATCGCCAGTAACAGGATTGTGGGGGGGTTGAGGAAGGAGAGCAAGTGATGGAATGGGATAATGAAAGTGAGGTGAGGGAGAGAGAGAAAAAAAACTACAGGGTGACTTTCATTTAAAATTGTTTATGTAAAGCGTCAGGTGCAGAGGAGTGAGCAGCAACACGAGGTCATAAAATTAGAATCAGAAATGTGAAACTGGTAGACTTTCTCAAAGATGTCGGGGCGTTCACAAGTCAGCATGGCAAAGCCACCAAACAACACCAGCATCCATAGCCGACCCTCCGGTCCCCATCCACACAGCCATTTTAGTATCTCACAAACAGCACGATTATGTGCAACAAAGCCTCATCAGTCCTGCAGTGTGAAAAGAGGTAATATATATCTGCTATTATATTTAGCTAATCTCCTGGGGCCAGATGCATGAGCGATGTATGCACACACAAAAAAACACGTGCAGGCCTTTTTTTCTGCACAAACTGGTATTTATAAAGAAAAGCATGTATGTGTGTTAAAACTAATTGTCGGATATGTGTACCACAAATACAGTTGCTCATGTATTTGCTTTCATTGCAGTGTTAATGTGTCGCTTGTTTTCAATTAGTAGATTTTTGTGGTTTATACCATTTTTAGTTAAAACATTGACAGTTAAATTAAATTGGACCATCAAGATAATCAAACTAAAACATATATAAAACGAGAATATTGGGATTTTGGTTGAAATTTTTAAGAACAGGCCTGAAATTATATTTGTAGTTAAATGTACCTCTATAAATCCTAATAGTAATTACAGTCTAAGCTATGAGTTCTATTATTTTGAAGGGCTGCTAAGAGCTTTATTATAAAACACCAGAATAATACTAAATTCTGTAAAGGCATCATTCTATTCAATTCTCCTCAATGTAAAAGTCCTACTGTCAAGTTCACTCAAAGTTTACAAGATTCGTAGTCATCCATTATTCAATAATATAAAAAAGAAGAGCCTGATAAACCATATAAGGCTTGGAATCTGCATAGTCACTCATTGCCATGATGAGTCACACCTTCTCTTAGAGACATCCACCGTGACGCTCATAGTGGCAGACACAAAACAAAAGGCAAAGTAGAAATGAAGGGGGTGTTCACACCATCCCCGCTTAGTCCGCTTTAATTGAACTCTAGTTTGTTTGCCTAGAAAGTCCGGTTCGTTTGAAGAGCTGTGAAACTGTAATCGAACTCTGATGTGGACCAAAAAAAAAAAAAGTGAACACTGATCCACCTGCAAATGTGCAGGTTTCGACTCAGATGAAGAAAACTCTGGTGCGGTTCAAGTGCATGTGTGGACGCCAAGCGAACCAGAAACCACATCAAAAGCAGGAAGTGGACTATAGTTATAGTTATAGTTCATTTGCAAAAAAGCACAATGTGAATGCAAACTGCACCAAATGAAAAAATAAATAAATAAAGTCCATTTTTGGTCCGGACCAAACAATTGGACCAAAGGACTTTCCTGGTCTGAATACACCCTTAACTTGCCAAGCAGTAATAAAAGTTCTTCATTCATTGCACTGACACTTTTGATATACTTACTGAGAATAGAAAAAATATATAGTTTTATATTACTTTCGAAAAATGAAAAATAAAATTTTAGAAAAGAAGTTTGTCTGGATCTGTGCTTTTTTTGTTTGTTTAGGTGTAATACACTCAAAAAAAAAAAACTGATGGACTTAATTAAGAAAATTGTGTCAACTGTTTCCCCTGAATTGCGTAAAGTTAACACATTTATTTTACACTGATGAAATGCAAACATAAAGTAAATGTTTCCTTTACTCAATTCAG